TCTCATACTACTTTTACATCAGGCAGCCTGGTGCATCTGCATACATGTATACCTTCCCTTTCAAAATTCGAGAAGAGCGTCGGATGCAGACCGTACACCAAGAGTGACGACAGTCTTTAAGTAAATCCGGTTAGCAGTGCTTCATGTTGAGCTTGTAGAAGCACCAACTTCCTCCATTCCACTCACCTTTCCTTGAGCTTCAGTCAAAATCGGAAAAAGACCCATCAAAAAATGCATTAAAAGCAAGCTCTTCACTCCAAGACGATCTCCTCAACTTTCATTTTTCAGCCTTTTCGGCGGTTGATCGAATCGGTCTTATGACGTACGCCGACATTTTAAACAGACGTCATCTTTAGTAGAACAAGGCACGATATTCAGCAGAAATAAACTGTTCACACGTCGATTTCTCAAAGATTAATTCCAGGATGACTACTCAGTATTGAAGAGGATATTCTTATACGCGTTGATGTTCGATTAAAAGTTGTTCGATGTAGGGCAGAGCGATGAAGGTCTTTTGGTATTTAATGACAAAAACGAAATAAAAAAATGAATGAGCTTTATGATCACCATTTTCTTCAGTGTCCCCAAAATGCTGAGTTATTGGCAAAACACTTTGCCTCAATGAGATTTCTTGTGATAACATTAACATCACGAATTGCAGCGAATCAAAACACTCAAGAAAACGAAATAGGTCGAAACTGTGATATCGTTCGGAGTTTCGGCCTGGGAAATGATTGTAGTTGAAATTCTCCTGATTGCTTGAATCGCTGGCGATTTCTGAAAATGCTCTTGGTAAGTCAAACTTGAGCGTCGGCGCGTGCCATGACAAAATGAAATTTCCCATGTGTGCCGTTCATATCTGATAATGACAATACCAGCTGCTGCAATTCATCGATGCCCGTGCACAGCTGAACGATAATGTATTCTCAGCTAGCGCGGAGCGGACTCACTGAGAAGTAGTATATGTTATATAAGAAAATTCTATTGCATGCTTGTATGGTTTAGTGGGAGATTACACCAAAAGTGGTATAATCAATCACACTGAATGTCAAGCGAGTGACACTAAGCATATTAGGAGATCAGGAGGTTTCTAGTAGGGTATTGGGAAAGTGAGGCGGGTTTATTACTTCTATTTTTGAAGAAGCATATCTCCACCCAAGTTCAACATTTTCGATCGTGACAAAAACTATTTGAAACAACTTATTATTCCTAACAAGATGTGCACTCATTTGTTTCGCCCTTGTGAAAATGAGGGCTTGTGGAGGTGATGAAATTGTCGAACGTCGTTTCCACATCAACTCGACTACTGTAACATTTCTTTCCCAAGAAGCTGTCGAGGTGGTTGGAAAGAGTGGTATTGGTGAGGGAGAGGTCTAGTGAATTGAATATGTAGGATCTAAGTCTCGTACGCCAGTTTGTTCAATAGTTGCGAGGTCGTTTATGGTACTTGTGGCTCAGCGCCACCATGAAGGAGGGTTATTTTATTTCTCTCGGTCGACGAAGTCGGAGTTTCTGGAGCATCTTGTAGGTGTGCTGGGTAGACATTACGTAGTATTATATTATAGTCACCGGGTTCCCAGGAAGTGTGGTGCATCAGCCCCGTGAGTATGTTAAAGTGGGAAATCAATTCCGCAAAAATATTCTCGCACCAGTGGTGTCCCACAAGGAGGTGCTGTCACCTCTATTATTTGTCGCATATACTTATGCTATCCTGTTATCTTAATACTAACCCTCTAGTTAAAGTTAAAATCTATGCTGATGACATCGAAATCACGGAAGTTACGATGGCAGAATTATGACTGTATACCACGCCTTGACCCAATCCTTTCGCAACATGATGGAGTGGGCTACGGATTGGGGAATACCTATGAATTTTACGAAAACTCGGTACTTCACCTTGGGAAAGCCAAAATCACACCATATACAATAGACGATATTACTTTGGCCAGTTCCTATGAAGTTCATGACCTAGGGTTCCTCATAAATTCTGATTTTAATTTATTGCCTCATATTGATGTTACGGTTCATAAAACATACATGACTTCAGTTGCGATTCTCAAATATTCGACAAAATGATGCTTCAGTCTTTTTGAGGCTCTACAAAGCATATGTTGTTTCCAAACTTGAATATAGTTCACAGTTATGGAGCTCTCACATTAAGAAACTTCAAGCTAAAATTGAAATTCAATAGACTTTTACCAGAATTTTGATGTGTAAATGTTACGCTAACCCTAACTATCCTCACGCTAGCTCCAATTACAAAAACCGTATGCTTAGCTTGGATCTAAAATCATTGTTGTACAGAAGAGTATTCAATGATGTCTTGTTCTGTTTCGAAATGTTGAAAGGTGAACTGAAGATGAAACCGAGTAAATACTGGATAATTAGACCGAGCAGAGATCGCATCACTTCCCTGTCACAACAATGTCCTAGATTATGCAGAAATCATCATCAAGATTTTTAACTCGCTGTTTTTTCGCGGAGCGAAATGGCTTCAATTATTACCGACAAACTTGCAAATGGCGCGAAATACCGATACGTTCGGAAGGAAATTAAAGAGCATTGACTTACTCGCCTTATTAGGCATCAACGATTTCGAATTGCTGGTGTCTCAGAACTGGGTAAAATAGTGCTAATTTTATATGATTTGAAAGCAATGATCCTGATTTATAACTGATTTGGTTCCTGAAGAATTATTGTAGTGCACCTACGAGTGCATAGTAATAAACAAATGATATCAGGCAGTTGGAATTGTTATGAAAGCCTTTAGAAAAGATTTAGCCTAAGAAAATCCGTCGAGGCACCGTCACGGACGCTAGAATTTTCATGCGAGTTTTTATCACTTGAAAGGCGATATCTCTCTATTCAAGTTTCGAAAAAACGAAGACAGTTTTGGAGAGCGGAAGGTTTGCGTTGAGGAGGTACTTGAGGATACTCGAGGATCTATCAAGGAGGAGTCTCGGCCGCTCAAAGAGCCGCTCTCTTCTTCACCATTACAAGTGTAATTCGTTGGCAACGCTCGAAATATGTCTAGAATACGTTCCTACAACATAAGCAATAAAAAAGGGGCAATCGTCATCTGTCAGAGAGGAACATGCCGCCCTGGAGAGATCAGCTGTAGATCAGCTGGTCTGAGCGGTGTATCGACAGGGGAGTGGTAGGAGTTAATCGCGGGGGGTCATGGAGGCCACCTTTGCCAGAGGGAAACAACTTGGGCGGGAAGGTCCCAATAAAAGGGGTCCGTGTTTCCTAGTTTACTTCTTCTTCTTTCTTCTTCTTCTATCTCCAGTCCAGTCCCAGAGCTCCGGTGTTCCCGAGCCCTGTCTGGTTTTCCTGTGTTCCAGCGACCCAGCGACGCAGCGTTCCAGTTTCAGTGTGCCTTCGTAGCGTTTCCGGTGGGAGCTGTAGGGCCCGAGAGAGAGGGCCTAGGCTCCGGATAGACTGCCTAAGTGGCTGAGGGAAGAGGGCCTCAGTGGCCGTATAGAGGGAGCCTAAGTGGCTCATCGGTGTTTGCCTTAGTGGCATAGTGAAGAGAGCCTTAGTGGCTCGTGTTGCAAAGCCTTAGTGGCTGTGCGGAGAAAGCCTGTGTGGCCTACCGTTGAAAGAGGTTGCGCCGTGCACCCGCGCCGAGGACATAGATTCCCTGCTTGCTCCCCGTGTTCGACCGACACCAACCACCTCCGAGCACCGTTCGTACAAGAAATCCCATCTAATTCTTTACAGTTGTTAGTTCTGTTCGTTATAATAAATCTTTCTTTGTACTGCTTGTCTCACACGCACAGTTAGAAGGTTTACTCCCAAGTCGTAGCAGACGAATCCGTCTTACACTACCATCATCCTATTTTGTGGGTATACGTCATGCATCCGACCAAATCAAAGTTGCAGAATCGCTTGCAAGGTGTTGTACGATCAGTTGACAGAAGTTGCACTGTAGTAAACCTATTTCGTAACTCCTATACCTGAGGAACAGCTTCATTTGGCCAGGGCCTTTCCTTCACGGTTGTCGTTTTTGCGACAGCGTCCCTAACAGCAATGTCATTCTCAATGAGGTATCAATTGGGAGGGAGCGGGCTGTGGATAGAGGAGATGCATCTGCAACGCATACACATGCGACCCTTTTCCTTGCAGAGGTGCACTTCAATTCTTTGTACTGCTTTCAAACCCTTCTCTCAAAGGTAGAGGAATGAAGCCGCTGAGCCTGCGAAAAATATTTTATGTCATGTTTTCTCACATATCTTCGGTTTCTGCTATCCTCTTACTCCTATCTTCGGAAAATATTTTATGTCATGTTTTCTCACATATCTTCGGTTTCTGCTATCCTCTTACTCCTACCTTACGATGCCATTGATGTTAGTGACCCTCACGAGTACGACCCTCCTAACCGAGCCTGACAAGGACGACCCCCTTGTTGGGAATTTTCTCGACCGATACTCACCCTGGATTGCAACCACCGACTCTCTTTGTAACGCTACCCACCCACCTCGAATGATGTGCTCGCCCGAACGGCGTAATCTGTGGCGTGTTTGCCTTACCATCGTTCCCCATCCGACCTCACCGAAGTTTGAGGCCTCAATTCAGTGTTCCCAAAGATTTCTCTGGCTTTCTACCACTTTCAGCTCGTTCCGCAGCTCAGTGATCACTAAAGGTGCCTTCATCCCACGGTTTTATCCCGGGCTCGCCTTTAGAATTAAAAAAAATCCTTTAAAAACATTGAAAACGGACGGTGCATGTAGCTTGAATGACTAAGATCGTAGAGATTTTGCAGACGTGCTCCCAGCAGTATAAAAGCAGATCGAAGGCGCCTAATGGATAATGAAATATTCATAAATTTCAGGGGTGTCCCATGATTTTTAGCGCATTGTATTGTGACGCAAGTGTCCGTCAGTTTACTGCTTTTGATTAGATTTTTATTTCATGGGATATCTCGTGCGTATCCATTTCTTGCAATATTAATAGTTTAGCACTCGTTTTAGTCTGCTAAAAATGGATAGCTCGATTTTCTACATGTATCCGGTGATACAAATTACAATGAAGAAACAGTTCCAATACCACAAATCCTTTCCGTTGCTTCCCATGCCGTTGTCACCAGTCGAATGCTTCCAGGACAAGTTTGCGGATCCTTCTCCGGAAATATCAATGAGGTTCTTTGTCGAGACGTACAAAATGCTCTTGTACGGGTTGTAACTCGATGTTTGGACATTGATGTTCACCTGAAAAACTCCTCACAAAGAAGGTCTTTCAGAAATTGCCCAATTTTCTCGAGACAGTTTTTTGCATGATATAGGGGAACGTGCATAGAACGCGGAACTGTACTTCATTTTTCCTGAGCGGCCTGAATACTAAAAAAGGAGTGATAAAGCGGTCCGTTGTTTGAATCTCGCAGTGACAATTCTTTCCATCTTGCGTTGGTCTTTCAAAATAGGCTGAGCATAATCAGCTCATGTCATAATCGTAATTAGGACTATCAGTAACCTTTATACGTAGACTCTGACTAAAAATATGACGTAGACTCTGTCTAAAAAAATGGTGAAGAAAGTTAAAAAAGGCAGTTCCTCAAGAAGTTTTTCTTTGCTCCTTTTTGGTATTCAGAGGGTCGCTTAGAAAAAATAAACCACAGCTCTGTGTTCCATGCACATATTCCTGCATTATGCGAAAACCCGTTTCGAGAAAGTTGGGCATTTCCTGGAAGACCTCTGTGGTGAGATGTAGCGCATAGAAAGGACTGGCTTCTGCCATCCAATGTGTTATCGGAATCAAAAATCTCGGACTTCCTACCTTCTTTCCATTCAGCATGAAACTTGAAAAGTCTGGATAATATTTGTAGTTGAAAATCTCAACTATGTCGATCGTGGGAACAGTCAGCGATCTCTGAACATGAGAGAAACGAGATTGGACGGAAATTTCAAGTTTTGCTGTGTCAGCAAGCTAACACACGTAATCTTTTCTTCTTGTTAGCAATCAGAAAATATACCTTTCCCCGCCCGTTCAACGATGATTTTTGGGCAGAGTTGGAGAGACCTGCTGATCATGGCAGGTGGGAAAGTTGTACCGAAAATACGATTCGGTGAAGTGGAGAGGGGAGTGAAAAAGGGTGGTGGTTATACTGCCACGGCCAATTTCTAAACGCGATGTGGCTCCCCGAGACACTTACATCACTACCACAACTACCCTTGAGACATTTTTCAGTCAACGTAGTAAGCGTGGAGAGCGATGCGAAGAGTAGTGGGACTTTCTTCCGTCTTCTCGCCTCTCACTGCTACGTTTTTGTGTAAGCTCCCAATTCTGCTATTCTTTTTCGTCCACTGAGGTGCGCTCTGAAATATCATGCACAGAGCTACCCAGCAAGCTCCTTGCCTCTTCACTCCAGTTTACCCTAAGCACCTATTTCTCCCTTCACCAAGTCGCACCGGTTCTGCAGCTTTTAATTTGAACCTTACAAACGCTAGAATCTATTGAAGTTTATTGATGATCAATAAAAAACAAACTCACAGCACGGCGTTCCGTTTTGATAGAGAGATAACCGTTTTGACTATCCGCATAATACTTGAATGACCAGTAATAATAATCGTGCATATCATAAGATTCAATGATACTTTCGCCATCATCCCAGTAAAGATCTCCGGCAACAGAATCCTCACCTGATATAGAAAGCCAATATGTCAACTTCGTGTTAACCTTCACTATCAAATTCGCTAGTCAGGCAATGACGAAATGTCATACTGGATGTTCTCGGAGCGACCAATAGCTCGAAAGCGTTTTGTCGTGAAGCGAGTGTAGTCATATTGGGAGTTTGGCGCGGTAGGATAGAGCCACCTGAAGCATGGAAGTGGGATATGCGATCAAGGAAGTAGAATGAAGGCCGCATCTCCACCTCTGACGAAGACTGGAATCTGGGATGTCCACGGAGTTGGATACTCTTGATAGCCATGCTGCATCAGCTGACCATAATTGTAGTCAAACAATGAGTACCAATCGTTTTCCGGCAGATACACGTTGACAGAAGTCGCACCCTAAACAGACTAAGTCGTCACTACTTGAAGAAGTCCTCTTCTGTTGGTGAATTCCGATTACCTGATGAAGAACAGGTGCAACAAGCATCGAACTCCCCCATAAGAATTGATGCCCCAAGTCATGCGTTTCCAGATCTTTTGGAAATTCGTAGAATAGTGGACGTACAACAGTTCCTCCATACATGGAAGCAGCAAAATGCAAACTGAAAGTGCCCTTTCTGAGCGCTTGGGTGTTTCAGCCAAAATGAAACAGGATTTTATGGGAGACTTCTTGGGCTCTATCAGTCGCAATTGAAGATTCAACTAGATAGGTCGTATTGGAGCTGCTAATGAAAAACTTACTGCTCATGCAGCTTCCACCAGGCACACGGGAACAGCAAGACCATTTTTAACCACGATCACTCCCTCCTTCACCTCTTTAGAGAAATTCATGTGAAAAAGCGTTTTCTCTAAAGACGCACCTTACAATTGAGTTGGTGTGACAATTTTGTTCTACTCCAATGCAAGAGCCCGATATGGACCGCTCTACTTAACAAAAAGTAACGACACCCTCGAGAGCACCGAAAATTCAAGGTTCTTTCTTCTGCGTCGTGTGGGAATTTTTGGAAGCCTACAGCAGATAAGAGATGATGAGCTACGAGAAGACAAAAACGCGAGTGTATAGCGAGGAGTCATGAGACGGATGGTGATTCCAATGGTGCATGGACCGACCTACAGCAAGACGGACCGTCAACTCCAGAATTGTATTATAGTTTGGGAGTGGTCCTGTCTTTTTCAATTGAGAATAAGTCGTAACCTCAGGTTCGGCTTGAAGCTCATCTATAGAGCCAATTTGATCCCCTGAACACAAATGTTGCATCTGCTTGTCACGGAAAAGCCTAGCATCTGCACGACGCGAACCATGAGCGCCCAAAGACAAGTAGTGCGCAGACTTGTGCCACTGAAACTCAACACTGTCGTTCGTGACGTTTATAGTAAAGTCCACAGGGTGGCCGGAAAGTATAGGAGCCATGTTTTTGTGTGTAAAAGCCAAGAAAGAGACTCGATCAGGAAAACGACTCCACGCAAAGATAGAGTTAAGCAGTTTGATCACTTGTGCAGAGGTGCTTTGAGTTTGAGGACTCTACTCTGAGAGAGGCCTTCCTACGTAAAACAGAATCAGCAGTGCGCCGCAGGTAGCCGACGGCGGTGTCGTCCCACCCAGGTCAACCCTACGTTGGGACAAGTACCAACGGGGAGTCGTAGTTTGTGAAGGTTTGTGGTGTGGAGGTCGTAGTTGCTTCGGTAGCACGAAATTACGTATAATGAGGTGAGAGCACGCCGGAGAAGATTTGCCGTTTCAGCGAGCGTATGTAGCAGGGTCAACCGTCCGTCCGAATTGTTCGAACGAGGGGGTCGTATTTTTGTCGGAAGGGGGTCTGCTTTTCGTGCGCTGCGGTCTACGCAAAGACAATGGATGTTTACCTGAATGGTGCACACCGATTCATGCCCTTTGCTGTTTGATGAATGAGTTTCTTTTTCACAAGTCTGCTCTCCACTGTCTTGACGCTTTCTGCGGCGGCGGCGCAGACGCTTTCTAGCGCAACGGATTCATGTCTAGCACTCCTATCAACAAAAACAGGGGAAAATCCCGAAAATGTTCGAACGCGACGGTCGACCCTGGTATACAGTACCGCGCAGTAAAGTATTCGTTTTCACTTTTTTGGACGTAACTTCCACAAACTCAAGCTTTTCCTCCGATTTTTCTACTGTTAATGCACTTAATTAGAAGTGATAAGAGAGCGGATTTTCGGTTGTCTAGGTGACTTATAAAATATTTTGGGATTTTTTGAGTTTTTTTTGGTCAAGCAACATCTTTCTTGTTCGAAGTTAAATCTACTAAATTTTCAAATTGACAACAGAACAACCTGTGTAACAACAAATGAACAACTGCGACTTCATTAATTCGTTATTAAACCTTTGGCGTCTTGCCACACTTGCGGCAGGACATGGTCGACGCCATCATTGGAACTTCTATGAAAGCTTAACAATTAGGTAAATTGCTGAAATTAAAAGAGTTTCGGTGCAATGTGTTCACGGTTTGCCAAAATCGAAAACACTAACAAGGGAAGGATGCCAGGTTGAAGTGGCCATTTGTAACGAGTTATACACCACTAGATGTGTTTTCGGACGCTGATCTGGGATCTGTTTTCCAAATCTGCGAAGCGATTTCGAAGGTAGCTATGAAGCGAGATAGTGCAGTGGCAGCGGGCCGAGCCGACGAGCGAGAGGTCGTAAGATCAACTTTTCGGCGAGTTCTCGCTGCTTTTCTTGACATGTCTTGGAAGATTTTGGGATTTTTTGAGTTCTTTTGGTCAAGCAACATCTTTCTTGTTCGAAGTTAAATCTACTAAATTTTCAAATTGACAACAGAACAACCTGTGTAACAACAAATGAACAACTGCAACTTCATTAATTCGTTATTAAACCTTTGGCGTCTTGCCACACTTGCGGCAGGACATGGTCGACGCCATCATTGGAACTTCTATGAAAGCTTAACAATTAGGTAAATTGCTGAAATTAAAAGAGTTTCAGTGCAATGTGTTCAGGGTTTGCCAAAATCGAAAACACTAACAAGGGAAGGATGCCAGGTTGAAGTGGCCATTTGTAACGAGTTATACACCACTAGATGTGTTTTCGGACGCTGATCTGGGATCTGTTTTCCAAATCTGCGAAGCGATTTCGAAGGTAGCTATGAAGCGAGATAGTGCAGTGGCAGCGGGCCGAGCCGACGAGCGAGAGGTCGTAAGATCAACTTTTTCGGCGAGTTCTCGCTGCTTTTCTTGACATTGTTTGAAGAACTTCTATGCAAGCTGAATAATCAGCCACTGCCTATCCTATGAGAGGGAAGAGCTAGCAAAGAGCTTCAAACACTGTGCGCGTCATTTGACGTGTCCTGTCGGTCGTTTGTGCCTACATTTTCGACTTTAGGTCAAATTTTTGGATTCGGACCAAAAGTTGTCTCAAGGGTAGTTTAATGCGCTGAACACGAAAGTCACTACCTGGCAAGGAAGTGCATGACGGATGCGCTACGGGTGCCAGAGACGGTCACTTGCAAACGCGCACAGTGTTCGAAGCACTTCGTGAGCTCTTCCCACCTGTATGATAGGCAATCCCTGATAACCTAGCATGAATGAACTTTCTTTAAACAATGCTTTCAAGGAAAGCAAAAGTGAGAACTTGCCAAAAATACGATCTCGTGACCTCTTACGCGACGGCCCGGGCCGCTGCCACTGCGCTATTTCGCTTCATACCTACATATTTTCGGAAAATCGTTTCGCAGATTTGGAGAGCAGGTTCGAGATTAGCGTCCAAAAATACATCTAGAGTTGTATTTCTCGTTACACTCGCCGACAGAAACATTGTGCTGCTAGCAAGGAGTTATCTGCGTCTCATTGCAACCGACATTCTCCAGGAATTATCGACGTTCGAGGGTTCAAACCCATCCGTAGACACCGTGCGACGGTGCCTGAGAAAGGCTGGTCTGTTGAGAAGTCGTTCTGTTAAGACACCGCTGATTTCAATCTAAAACTGTAAGGCGCGTGGCATGGATTCTAAAATGTACCTTAACATTACGGAGACTGTCGACTGGCCGTATGTTTGCGGTACTGCCCGGAGTGAGTTCATTTTCCAGCAGGACAATGACCCAAAGCACAAATCGAACTGCTCACCGAGTGGTACCGTCCCTTTGCTGCCGTGGTCATCGCAGTCTTCAGACTTGAATTCTATCGAACATCCGTGGGGAGAGCTCGAACGTTAAGTTTAAGGCCTCAGAGCCCACAATGAGCGCGAAAAGTCCGTTCAACTGAGAACGGAATGGGATGACATTTACTAGCTTTTGGAAGAATTGGAAGCTTCCAGCCCAGAATGAAGGAGAAGTCGTTTTTGGGGTGACCGCAATCTTTAACTTTCTTCTACACATACCAAAAACTAGTTAGCCCAGAAGAGCCAACTTTTGCGAACTTGCCTATTTCCTTTAACGGATCCGCGCTACAAAAGAGTGTGCTTTCATGTAGATCACCACCTCAAAAAATTTCTTGCCAACCAGGAAAAGCGTCTCTTGGCTAAGGCTAAACAGAAAGGTTTATTCCGCTTTTTCAATCTCAGAACAAAGTCTCGCTCTAGTCTCCCAGTTCTTTTTGATTCTACCGGCAGCTTGTTCATCTCTGATAAACAAAAAGCGGACGCTTTAGGAGCTTACTTTGCCAGTATCTTCCCCAGCGACATTCCTGCCAATAGTGAGCATCAGAGTGTGTTCCATCGTGTTCCACACGAGCTCCCTAGTATCTTCCATCCTAATGACGTCCTTTGCCTTCTCAGGGCTCTTAAGCCGTCCACCTTTGAAAGCTACGACGGCATCCCACAGATTGTATATAAGAAATGCGCATTATCTCTTTATCAACCGCTTGCTCATGTTTTCAATATATCAATGCTTCTAGGTGAAGTTCCCTCATTATGGAAAGAAGCTATCGTTATCGCGATTCCTAAAGTATCCAAAAGCCATTTATTATCTGACTATTGACCCATCAGCATCCTCCCAACCCCTGCAAAAATTATGGAGATGCTGACACAAGGAAAACTTTTGTCATGGCTGCAAAAATTCAACGTGATTCCGACCGAACAGCACGGTTTCCTCCCCGGTGCCTCTACAACATCCGAATTGCTTGATTCTATCTTCGACTGGTCTCTTGCTCTTAATAAGGGTGAGACTGTAGACGTAGTATTCATTGACCTCTCCAAAGCGTTTGACAGGGTTTGTCACTCGAAATTATTGATAAAGCTAAAATGCCTTGGCATTACTGGATCTCTTTAGAACTGGTTCGAGTCTTACTTTAGCCTCCGACACATGACTGTCAAGGTTGGTTGTAGCTTTTCCAGCAGATTTTACTGCTGTAGCGAGGTACCTCATGGCAGTGTCCTATACCCACTGTTGTTCCTTATCTACACCATGGACCTTCCCGCTTTCATTAAGACCTCTGTTGACGTTAAGGTCTAAATGTACGCTGACGATATAAAAATCTACGCTGCTTATAATGATGAAAACATGGGAGCTGTTCAATTGGCTCTAGAGAAAGCGATAGTAAGGATGACAGAGTGGGCCGTGACCTGGGGTTTGTCAGTCAACCTTAAAAAATGCTCAGTGCTGCACATTGGTGACGCAGCCCAGGTCGACTACGAAATCAATGGCGTACGACTGGAAAGCTGCCAATCTGTTAGAGACCTAGAAATAGCCATCAACTATAATCTTAGATTTTCCGAGCATATCGCTAATATAATCAAAAAAGCACTCGCGGTCCTCTACCTCATTTTTCGTAACTTTTGCAGTAACGATGTGAATTCCTTACTCCCTCTACAAAGTTTATGTACGTCCACATCTCGAATACTGTTCCTCAATATGGAGCCCAATTCTCAAAAAAGATATTCACAAGCTAGAGAAGGTACAGCAATTTCACTAGGCTGGCATTCTTCAGATGCTTCCCCTCTACTGCACATGTTCATCTCCTTAACTACAAAGACCGGTTAAAGTCCTTTGGTCTGCAAAATCTGCTGGTAAGGCGTACGACCAACGATTTCTCCCTTTCATTTCGTATTTTGCGGAACGGACCCAGTAAATACTGGGTTTTCCGACCCTGCAGTGGTAGAACGAGCAGATTTCATCTACATTATGCGAGAATCTTTGAAAAAAAAACTACGCTCTTCTTTTTAATAACTTTTTCTATCGTACAGCGAGCTGGCTCAGTCGTCTCCCAGATGAGCTGCTTCAATCACCAAATGGTAAGAGTTTAGTATTAGGATACGGATATCTATAACTGTGCGTTCTTTCTGAGTTCAGAAGTTGCGGGCGATTGCCATGGCAAAATCAACTTCTCCAGAACCCCCGCATCTTTTTGGGCTTGCTAATACTACCGGGGCGTGTGCTGGCGTTTAATACGCACTGTTGCTTATTAGACCCTATTGTATACCTTATACAATTTACGCTCTCCCCCCCTCCCAATTTTATATACTTTTGCTGAAAATCTTACGGTTCATTAGCAAATTCGTATGTGTGTAACGGAAATGCTCCATCAAAGCACGGCTGGGAGCTACAGATCCGCCAAACCAACACTAACATTGCTTTTGCTAGCAGCGAGTACTACCGTTTGGAATGCTGCACGCGTCACTTTATTTATTAAACAGACAGGTCGAAGTTTGGAAAGAATGATTGCAATGTCTTCAAAAAGATCGGCCCTAGTTAGCCAGCTGAAGGGGCTTGGCACCAGACATGTGCCTGAAATGGTAGGCATTGCTGTCACTGTGATGGATTGATGATACGCAAACATTCCCATGAATTTGATTCCGCAAGATATTCTGATAAATGTGCTCACCTGCCTCTCACGCGCGCTCAAAAAGGGTGCGTTTTTGACCCTATGTAGCAATAAAGTCTCCGTAAAAACTGCCCACTTGGGCTGACAAGTTCTAATTTTTCTGTCGTGCAATGCAGACCCTACGCTAACCAGCTGTATACTTACTTTGTCCAGGCCTTAATTTTTAGCAAGTAGGAGGGACGGTTTATCAGAGGATGTCAAAACCGACCTGCCTCTCCTTTTTAACTCAAAAAATTCCGATCTTGTCTCGTGCAAGGTTTCCACTCAAACTGTTAGATGAGGGGATCCTAGTAAGTCATTTTATGATTAAACTAATTCGCTCCTCGGATTCTGAACTGAAATATTGCTGGTCCAAAACTCTTGGTGAAAAAAACGACATTAAGATATCCGGTACCTAATAGTAAATTGATGAAGCTTGATCTTTTGGAATTATTGGAGATTGATCACTAGTAGTTAAACTGTTGACTACTCTGTCTAATGAAATGCTAGCTTTCTTTTTACAGGAATGCAGCACGCTGCGGCCAATTTCTCTCAGACTGTGAATGATTACTGCATTACCATCTACTCAGCTAAATATTTTCTACTTTATCATCTTTGTGATAATGTTTCTTACTATTTGTGTTATATTACCACTTTCTATTCTAAAGACACATTAGCCCTACGTTTTTATCTTGGTTTCGTGGCGCCCTATAGGTTCCCATAAGTGGCCTCTAGTCGCTCGGTGAGCCTGAAAGTTGATCGACCCTTCACTTGAGGTCCCCCCTCGTTTTTCGCCTGGGGTCCCAGACTAATTCGTTAGTCATGGCTTAAGTTGGTTGCAAGCCCCGGTACGTTATTCGACTCGAAAGCGTCCGAACGAGGGACAAGGATCTCGTCAGGGACCTTTTCGGTCTTCCGGATGGTGAGTGCGGCCTTATTACCGGCTACGGGTAGGACCTCAATGGCTGCCATCTCAGTTCTTTTTTCTGAAGTATTCCTTAATCTCGGGGTTATTTGCATTGTTACGTTTAAGCCCAATTTTCCTCCTTCTTTCTTTATTTTTACTTTGTATCATGGATCGCTCAGCTTTACAGCTCTGTTTGTCCATCGTGTGCACACCCTTTGAGTTGTATTAAATAAATAAATAAATTGGTAATTCGATCGCATCACCGATTTAAGAAGTTATTAGACCGCTAAACTATCCCAATATTCAAAGCATGGTAGATGTTTACGCTGAGAGGTGATAATAAGCAGTCCAAGTAATTGTATTAGTTGTCCAAAGATCGTTCGACTGCTAGACTTCGTTAGTTCTAGAAAAATGATGTGTGTTTATTGGTATTCGAGCCATGAGAAATTACTGCTTCAACTTCTGTTTTCCTTAATACCATCAGTAAAATCAATTGAAAGCAGCATGTTACTCAATACAACAGCCCGGCTATACTCTGTTTCACAGAAGCCTATGTTGACATGCGCGCGATAGCGGGCGGAGCAAAACTGGTGGATATATGTATAAGTCATGAACCACGTAAAAGACAAGTTCCGGTTATCGCTGTGCACGTGATTAACCTGCTTATTGGGTGGCAGGAATTAATGCAACCAATTGATACATTTCAGTAGGGCAACCACGCAATTCCGAAGTTCTTTTACAACGGGTTACCGCTATCAGAGAGGTCAGTTTCTCTCGATGAATATGTATACGGTCGACTATCAATCCATTTTTGAGGCCGACTCGTGCTTTCGTACCTGGACAGATACGGCAAATATTTGTATCGAAAAAGGTTGGCCTTTTGCGTTGCTGCTGCCACACTTGGCCATCGAGCTGGATCTTGTGGTGATGCTCCCTCTGTGTTGTGATTCCTGCAAGTGAATTTTTGTTCCCACCGAATCTAGACCGCAGCTTCGCTGTAGTGAATGGAATTTCATGTACCTTTGGCTTCACTTCGCCATACGACATCATGTACTTTTTTACGAAGATACTAGAGCAGGGGTTGAAGACACTTTGCGCATTTGTTTCTAGGCATATCTGGGCCAAGCTCACCGTCCAATCCCTGTTCCAGTGTAAGAAAAACGAGAAAAGCTTCGAATGTGTACGCTATTCTGGATTGAAGTTAAAATGTGGGGCACACTTAAAGTGGCACTCAACCTCAACACATAGACACTTACAAGGGAGGTCGTTCAGGGTGTGGAGTGCTTTTTAAACACGGTTTTTTGCATGCTGTAGTGGCTCCCACCGAGACTACAGCACTCTGTTTGATTTTCGTCGAGCGGCCCCTGAAGGCCAAAAAATGGTAATGAAGTGGTCCGAAGTTCAATCCTTCCTGATGACAGAATTCTTGCATTTGGGTTGGAGCTTCCAAATTTCCTCTACCGCCAGCGCCAATACTAGGTGTCGTGTTCGCCATCAAGACTATCAGTAAGTATTGCACTCGGATTTTAACCGCAATCCGGTAGAAAAATGTTGTAGCGCCAGATGGACACCAAATGGCGCCGAAGTGGCGTAAATTTGATCAATCGGAAAAATGGATGTCATGTCCGCCATGAGGGTAATCGATACCTCTTATAATGAGAGTTATAGAGAAAAGGGACTTTGACCCAGACCCGAGAATTTGGCCATTGATCGTCAGTAGCTCATCGGTGCTTCCGGCCGATGACCTGTAAACGAGTTCCTTGTTATCCTTCCAAAATAGGAAAAATTCTACTACTGAATGAACAATGGCAGACAACCAAGCTAGTAATGTACAGTAGGACAAGCATGATGTTGAAGTCGGCAGATTCTTCTCTCTATCAAAATTGATCTGTTGGGTCCTTCAATGGCTCTTCCACTCGCGGGCCTCATTTCGATAGCCAGATCGATCTCAAGGGCTGCGATGTGGTGTAGAATCCCTATGAAGCCGACCTCTAGATCCGTGAATAGCGCAGCATTCCGCTTCATTTCTGCGCAGCGCTTGTTTTCAAGTCGCTCGCCGGCTTGTATGACGAGCTGTAGCCCATGGTCACCTCTATTCTCGGAGTTAAGTTAAAATCTCGACTTTCGCCGAAATTGCCTATAGGGGTAAGTCAGGGTCCCGATCACGAACATGGCCTTTGTTTTGGTATCGGTGCCATTTTCACCAGTTTTTTTTTGTAAGAAAACCCATTCGCAAGAGCTGCTGATGGTCCTGGTTGTGTGAACATAGCGTTAGTTTTGACTTTGAAGCGATTTGACACCGATTCGAAGGTGGCAGTCAAAAATGCAAAGGCTTGTCACGGGGCGGAGTAGAACTAGAAAATCTCTTCCTTCAAAGCCACCACGCTATCTACTTGACCACCAGACCACTGCAAGCAGTAGGACACCGACGACGCTTAAAAAACCTCCGCATTTTTTTCAGCACTACCACTGACAGAACTTCAAGCGAATTTTACGTTGTCTCCGATACCATCTTGACCAGTCCCTTGAATATGCAGGTGTTCTTTTCTGCAAGCCCAAGAAGTCCTCCAAGACTGCAAAAATCATGCAATCCAAACAAGCTTCTTTGACCCCTTTTTGGCCTTCGGGTCGGGGGGCCCTTCCGCTCAGCGAGAATGAAACACAGTGTTGCAGTCCATGTGAGAGCCCCTACAGCATGCAAAAAAGCCGTTTTGAAAAAGCGCTCCACACCCTGAGCGACCTCCCTTGTTATCGCCAGTGGTGTTCATTATTGAAGGGATTCTCCTGTCTCACCGCCTGCTATGTCGCTGCTAATCTTACCGCCTTACGGCTGGAAATAAAGAGCGACTGTAGATACAGGTATGTAGACACGAACCGGCTACTTTTGCTCAACCCTTGGTCAGAAACTGTATTTAAGGTTACCCTCAGAATCCCCTCATTGCGTACCCTCATTCATAAGTTATGAGCATCGCAGCGCGCAGCAAAATTCCGGAAGACAAAGCAGATGTGACGCTCACCTCATGAAGGAATGGAAGGCGCCCATCTGTTGCCATCGCAGACAGAGTTCCTCGTTTGTTTCGCCATTAAAGCCGCATATATCAGATCCAACGTACCTGTTAAATAACAATAGTTCTTCACCTAAAACCAATGAGCCAAGCACAATCGTGCCAGCTCTCACATTTTTTGATTGTGATTCATCTGCAATCCGCTACAGGATGCTGGCATGGCGGCGCTGCAAGAGAATGTGCTAAACCGTCCGCTGGTGAGCTGCCAACGTGAGAGATTGTTGCGGTGATTTTTTGCCAATTGGGTTGTATATGCTGCTTTGGAGGGGTGTGGTTGCAGAATAGGAAGAGGTTTGATTAGAGAGATTGGAAATACTTTGAATTCAAAAAGATTACACATAGAATCATACAACGCAACGCTAATGCGCGGCTTCACACGGCTCTTGGGTTTTCAAGTGGGCGTCAAACCGTTGACTCTCTCCATCGCACTGCTCTCTCCTGCGTCTTGCGATTGCTCTCTCGCACTGCACCGCTTAATTGCTTGTCCGCATTAGTCCCTCCACTGCAGGCGCTCTGATTTCTGGTCGGCACAAACACATACGCATGCACACAATAACTGTCTTAACTCTCGCATACCACTGTAGCTCCGCACCTTGCGCGCGCGCATCACACAGTAGGCTTCGTGAAACGGGCACCATGTGGAATTTCAGACAATGCATTTTACAAAAACAGTGCTCCTGGATGCGTTAGACATGTTACAAGTTATATAATGTTCCATAATTTTCCAGTCTCTCTGGACTAGCGTGCTGACTTAATCGCCTTATCATATTAGGTTGGAAAGGAAGTCCTGGCAAACTATTATCAAATTTTTGGTTTCAGTTTTATCTTTTTTGGCTACTGACCGGTCTTATATCTACCATGAGTGTCCATCACTTGTCTCCAACCCCCAGAAAATTCCTCGATGCTCCTTTCTCAAAACCCAGCGAAGTGTGAGTCAAGAAATGAGGAGACCTCACGTTCGAGTTGAGGTTGGTCGTCTAATTATTTCGTCATCATGATGATGATTCAAGGTCCAGGATAGGGGATAGTCATTCAAAGCTCGACCAGGGGAATACGATAATAGAGGTAAGAAATCTTGCCGCAGCTCCAGAATTTCTTACCGGGCTCATTTCTTCATGGTGATTCGCAATGTCATGAAAGAATTAAATATTGTCACAATACGATGGCTCTTGACGAGCTGCCTCGATCAACTTCTGGAGTTCCGCGGGTTGGACCTCTACCTACACAACAGTGCTCATAACGAAGAATTTTCTAAATGAGCTTCCGCAAGATTCCTTCGCGTAATGGAGTGTGTAGCACGCTGCTGGATTCTTATAAAAATATCAAAAGATTGAAAGCGCAGATAAAGGTGAAACACGCTGTAGCGGTGAACCACATGCCTATTGAAGCCATTGCGGATAGTGTCGGTCCTTGTCACGAGTCCATAGTTCTGGAGACTGCATTAGATACTGACTCGGAGTATGGGTTTACCAGTGGTTGGGGTTTTTTGGATAACTACTGACTGCAGCACATATATCCATCTCGGGGATTAAAGCCTCGAGAATGCTCTATCGTGTGTAAGTCATGAATGTTACCTATGAATTTTTCAGAAAAAAAGAAAATTTTAGAAAGAGTGTTGCAGAACTTTCTTTCCAGCCACTCCGTAAACATCCACATAATCCTAAATTAATACAACTTAGAACGAATATGTTCCTCTGCTATTAGTAACGGAACGAAACGAAATGTACTGACTTGCTGATTACCTGATCTGATCTCTAATTGACATTATTCAGAAATTCAAATATTTCAGCAGTTAAATAGACTCTGCATCACTCGATGAAGGATTAGGAATGAAACACTCTTACTTTTGATCCTCTAAAGATTCAGTTCAGCTTACGCTAATTGTCGATACTTTTATCGATGCCATTACGCTCATCACCGCTCACGCATCCATCGCCAACGTGTTGTCATTCTAGTCTTTCACCAGCGTGAACGATGCATCGCAATTTAAAGCAACAATCCAAGAACCAAATAGCGGGCAAGGACCGTCTATAATGAAGTTGTAGTGAGAAGTTGGGCAATGGAGAAAGAAAAAGTAGAAAAAAACTTCGGACAGGGGTTTAGACAGAGACTCCTCCTCTGACGTTAAGCGATGGGGGAAGACGTATGATGGACGAGTTGTCCGAACCTGCCCGCAGTAAATGCGTTCCAATCGCGATTGCTTGCAGATTGGCTACTTGCCATCAATAGTAATAGGAGTAGTAAGAGTAATAATATTGAAATGAAAACGAAACAGCGAAGAATGCAGAATGAAACCAAAACTGTTCAAGGATAGGGCTTGATTGCTCGAAACTGGTCTCGCAACGTCTTCGCACCTGGCCAAGCCATCATCACGGCTGGGAGACAGCGGTCATACCCGCTCCCGCCCATCCCAGTCCCGCCTCCGCCCATCTGCTGTAGTTCGTCGCCCTTCCTACAGGCTTTCAAAGGTGAGTTCATGTTTAGTTTCCTTTCAGATATGTTTAACTAGGACCAGTGCTTCTCCCCACCCCATTAGCGACTAATGCTCGGAACCCTGCCTGGACTGTTGCTTTAAAGAAGCGTAACAGATCTTACAAATCCAAATTACTCTTGCATTTTAGCGACACTTATGAGTCCATATGAATGGTTATGATTCACCATCCAACAACCCGTGTACCTATCCGATCCCCTATATTTCTTTGAAAACCAAACGCCGCGAAGGAAACAGAGGACATGATGAGATTTATATCTTAACGCCGCTTATCAGTCCGCATCAACTGATCACACATGTTTCCTTCCGACCCTCCACACAACATTTTAGAGCCAATATTTCCTTGTCACTGCGAACATCGCGCGGAGCGAAATTGGTGGTGGACACATTGTAATTATCCACGCTGCTTTCAAAATATTTGGCTTATGTTGTGAACGGAATCTGGTGTAAGTATAGCGGTTGCTGGTGTCCAGGTAGTTCTATCTCCTATCTGACTCGTCACATTCCAGTGTGGAGAAAACGACGGCACTGCCAACACGCAGAAAGCCTGGCAGCACGGCTGAGGACCGTGACCTCTACCCAAGATCCTCTTCTCACCTTCCAAGGGCGACGCCCTCACCACCAAGAGCTGCTTGTGATCCAGTCGTTCTCTTTACAACCATGCATTTGCTCCGTGTTCGTAAGCATGATTAGGCCTGTCAGTAACCCTTACAAAAAGACTGACGTAAAAATTGGTGAAAAAGGTGTTACACCACAGTGGGGCTGCTTGGAGTCAATTTGTCACGGAATCGAACTATGGACCCCCTTTTCTGGTATTCAGGGAGCCGTTTAGGAAAAATTAACCACGTTTCTGTGGTTCCTGCATGTGCCCCTATATCATGCAAAGGAACGTTTTCAAAAAGCTCGTCATGCCCTGAAAGACCTTTCTGATTAGGGTATGAGTTGTGTATGGTTGCAAGACACAAGATGGATTTCACAGTCCCGATGAGTGACCGCAACCTTAATTTTTGAATCGGGCGCAGATTTGTACTAGAGCGCAGTCGCCATGTCCTTCAAAAAGATCCGGTTTCATTCTATTCAGTACCTAACCATAAGTTGTTCCCAGGAGTTTGAAGAGTTTTTAGAGTTTCGTATTGAGTGAGTATAATTGCCTATAGTCCCATCAAGCAGAGTAAGCAGTTTACTATTATTATTTCCTCTTCCTCGACCTACGGCCTTATCGTGAAATACTCCTTTAAGCTACTAAGATCTCGCTTCTAGAAGTTGTGCCCTCTGAAATTCCCATAAATCCCCACTGCATTATGGGAAGTTTGAAACGCACAACTTCTAGAAGCGGTCAATGGCAACCGTTCTGATGGAAAACGAGAAATCCATAGTTCATACAATTGTGGAGAAAGGTTTAGCTCAGTAGCCTAATCACTTGAGCAGAAAGGCGTAATAAGCGAGTCTTTTTAAGTGTCGCGAGTTGTCGCCTACCCTTGGGATTCAAACAAGTTTTGTACAATGTAATTCTTAGTCGCCTTTTTGCTTGCCAGTTCTAAAAATGCGATTTTGCAGTGTTTTCTGATCAAGGCGATTTTGTCCCCGCGTTCACACTCAGCGTTTGGAGGGAACAGGGGACTGAGAAATGGGTGAATAAGGCATATCCGGTGTTAGCGAGAATTCACATGTTTTCAAAAAAGGGGAAGGGAACATATTCTGAGGGAAGTAAGAATGAGCCCTCGACTCTTTGTTCGAGCTCAGCTTAGCTTAAGTAAACTGGTTGATCGATCGAATTTTATGCAATAATCGGTGTTGTCTAAGAAAGAACGACTTATAGAAACCAACTTGCCACACCTGCCTAACGGCGAGTAAAGCACTCGTCGTGAAAACAGGTTTTCATCGCAAGGTATTTCAAATTGTGGTCAGACCTGAAATCACTATAAGGCCACATTTCCACGTTTAGGGCAGATCTTGCATATTTACGTCTCATTGAGTCGAACTGCTTCTCAAGCTCTCGGGCGTCCTTCAGACGCTCAACATTAAAACTCATGGAAAAGGCATAGTTGGCAATACTTTTCTAGGCGCTCATGTCCTTAGCGAGGAAATTGAAGTGGCCACTCGAACTCGGGACTGAGCCTTAGGAAGCGAAAGGATTCTGGGAGAAGATGTACCATTGCTCTACCTAGAGTTTGTTCCCAATCCTTGGTTTATGATGGTTCTAGTGTCACCTACCAGTGGTTTTTGAATGCCCTTTTTTGAATGTCCCCCTGTACATAAGAGCGCTCTTTTCTATGTCTAATTTAGTTATCTATGGTCAATGTAACTGTAATGATGTTCTAGTTTTATGTGATGTTTCGTTTCCAACGTTGTCTTTTACAACGTGTTCATAAACAAATAAATAAATGCGTGTCTTGGCTAACATTTGTAGTGAAGCAGGAGGAAAAAAAAGTTCAAGAAATTTTTACAAACATGCGTGCTTGGGAAGCTCTCTTCGAATAAGATGTTAGCTAACAGATGTATGCACAAAGGAAATGAGTGCGACACTTGCACTGCAATATTTACATATGTGAAACTGTACAAAAAAGGATTCCTCCAAATAAGAGTTTGTTAGCAAATGCGCGTTTCCAACTTAATTGCTTATAATTTCTGCTTCATGTCCAACTAAACTGCTTACTTTGCTTGATGGGATTACAGCAGTTATACCTACTCAATATCGAACACTCCAAACTCTTCAAATCGCTCTCGTGAGCAACTTACAGTTGCTGTATAGAACGAAATCAGATATTTTTAAGGACATGGTGACTACGCTCTAGTACAAATCCGCGCCCCAATGCAAAAATTACGGTTGCGGTCACTCATGGGGACTGTGATATCCATCTCGTTCGCAAGACCCACACAACTGTGCACGAGCGCGATTGCTATGCATTCCTGAGCTCTGAGTGTTTTCCTTCTTTTGCGCGATTATGGAGCATGGAGATTATTACTTGACCCACTCACGGAATAAGCTTAATATAGTGCCAAAGCAGATATCACGCAGTCCACACTGCGATCGGGTGGTACAGTTGTGGTAGAAACGCTCCAGAGCCCCGTTCGGAGTCGAGAGTACTGCTACTAGCTCAGTATCCTTGAGCCAGCCTCCGCGAATTTTTACACTCATTTTGGAAAAGTTGACTTGTGAACCCCTTATTTCACCAGCACTCACGGTATGCCAAACATGTTGAATTCCTGCACACCAATTACTGAAGTCTGAAGGTCTTCCCATCTTGCAGTATTGTCGCCTAGCCAGTGTCCGGCAAACCTGCCAGATGAAGCAAAAGTTGATCTGAAAAACATCTGGTCTCTTTGTCTCTATTCATTTTCTTACATCCATAGAAGTGCTCTTGTTTTAGAGCGACTTACCTCTATTTGCAGCAATGAACAGTATCTTCAGGAGAACTTGGCCGGTATCCTACCATTAGGCAGAGTGGCCCTTTTCAGAAATGAAGGGGAAATGTTTCTGCGTTCCCCAGATGGAGATTAGTGCTAACTTAATTTAATTTAGAATCCGAAATTGCATCCGTGTGTGACACACATTCACAATAGAACCTTTTTCGGAAACACCTGGAAATGGCTGTTTCTGGGAGTTTTATGGGTGGAAGTGTTGAGAGATATGAGGAGTAGTGTAAGCTGCAGCGTAGTGTCCGACCCTCAGTACGATCGTCCAAAGGGGGGGGGGGGGTGCAGGGGAGTGAGGCACTCCTTTTTCACACTATTTGCGATGCGTAAATACAGTTTACAAAATTCTTGTGAATGTATTCAATTTCTGAGAAGCACTCGAATTCGGGGAGAAGAGATGAAATAATCAATACAATACACTGCGTTTCATAATGATATAGCCACCAGCAAAACGTTCGAAATTCTGAAGTATATAAAGTCCCTAAAAAACTCCTGACAAATTTCATCAATTTCAAGTTCAGATATCAACACAAAAATACAGGTTTGAAATGCCAACAAAAATTTCGTGCTCATTTTTCCAAAGGAGGTCGATTTTCCCTAAAAAGCATAGAGCTAAGCCGCGTTCCTTCGTTGATGAAAGTGGTTCCTAGTTATTAGGCTTTCACCTTGATGATGTCAAAAGAAGGAAAAAGCCGCTGTACTCAGAAAAAAAGGACGAATTGTTGCAAAAAAGAAACAGGATTCGTTAAGCAGTCACATTGCGCGAGTTCCTCATTACCGTTAACAATTTTCTCTGGAATCCGGTAGGTGATGAAATAAAGAAGGGCTCTGGACTCTCTTCTTTGCTTTTTGGTCAAGTCAAACTCCGCATTTAGGAGAAAGAATTCAAATCCACAATCGAGGTCTGGACATTACTGTTCTTCTAAATTCAATCTCACTATGGATATTGATTCATATGTGTTGAAGACCTTCCAAGGTCATTCTCTAGTGTCTACAGAAGGAACCTCATTTGTGAGAGGAAATGGCTTCGAAACCGAGTCATTGTTTGCTCAGAAGTGTAGCAACGTGAGTAGAGCAAGACAGTTTCTGTCATGCCTTACCTTCTGCCTGCGTTTCTCTCAATGTTTTTCGCTTCATAGAAGTCTGTTGGGAAACGATACCTCAAAGGTTTTCCGCGGAAGATTCCTTTAACCCTTGAAGGAATCCTCCACGGAAAACGCTCCGCCTTCATTACCACAGAAAACGATACCTCAAAGGAGTCTTCTACAGAAAGAATGATCATTTTGTCTTGCGTGTAGGATCAGTATCGTTATCGGGGTATCGTTTTTCTAGGGTAATAGGGGCGGAGCTTTTTCCGCGGAAGATTCCTTTAATGAGGGAAAAAAACTAGAAAGAAAGCAAACAGGAAGTAGGATACAATAGACAGAAAACAGAGTTTGCTCTAGCCGACGTGGTTACACTAACCAGAAAAAATGACTCGGTTTTCGGGGCGACTTCATTTCAAAAACGAATTCCCTTTAGTTACCCACTAGAGAACGACATTGGAAGATCTTCAGCATATATCAAAAAACATCCACTAAAAGACTAAATTTGAGAGAACAGTAATTTCCCGACCTTGGTTCGATAGTGTTGAATTCTATCCCCAAAATGCCGATTACCTGGCCAAAAAGCAAGGAAGAATGTCCACAGCCCTTTTTTCTTCCATAACCCACGCGATTCCAGAAGAAATTGTTAACAGTATTGGAGCCTCGACTTAATGTTACTGCTTGACGATTCTTGTTTCTTTTTTGCGACAATTTATCCTTTTCCAAAATCCAATAGCCTTTTTTGTTTTTAGCGGAACGTTCAGGTGGTCACAATCTTGATTTTTGGGTTGGTCTAAACTTGTGATAAGATTTGTCACATTTCCTAGTTGGACCGTTTTTCAGAAACATGAACTTTGAGTTTTCGAACAAGTTGCAGGTGACTGTATCATTATGAAACGCAGTGTAGATCAAGATGCAAAAGGAAATATAGTGCTCAAGCGATAATGCCAAAATTTTTTTCCAATGACGGCATTCCAAGAACCAAGTGGAGACGGCCAACATTTGTCCCAGATGTACGGTGGAAATTTGAATTAGTAATCAATTCTTAGTTCGTGGATATTGTACCAGAATAAGAGCTACTTTCCGTGCCTACTGTTCGTATTAAGGAGATTAGCTATAAAGCTAACATTCATGAGCGGAGAAGTTTTTGTGGGCGATTCTTTGAAAGCGCCTCGCCATAAAACCGCCCCGTGATGGGGAGGGGGTGGAGAATTGCGACACAGTCATAATTATGATGATTGCATGATTTTTAAGTGCATTTCAATGCAGATAATCTTCTTTTCTATTTTTTTTATTTGTACATATCCTTTCAAATCACCCTAACGCTGGAGCAGTATCGAGCGAACCTTCTCAGGGTTTGGACTAAAACGCAGTTTGCATCGAGGGATATAATAGGTTGAGTCACATCGTCATTTCTTCAGACCCACGCCATTTTTCCCAGAAAACGCTTGTGTTGTATTCCGCAGAGCAGTATGTAGCGACTTAAGTGTCCTTTCATATTACGAAATTCGATGGTACTCGCTTTTAGGAGAAATAATGCCGTCCTCTCCAACAAATATTGGTCACTGTCTATATTACGAGTTCTGCTGGGGAACTCAGCAAGAGCAGCCTGTCGGGATAGTTGTGTGTCTGAAGTATCGGACTCACTGAATGCGAATATCTAATGAAAGCGGTATGGGGAAGCTTCCCCAGGGCGACTATAACCCTGAAAACCGACCATGTTCTAGACACCCAATCGCCGAAAATATTGAAAGCATGGAAGAGCTTCTTGAAGGCAGTCCGGTACCAGTACCCGTTAAACTGCATTAAACCTCCAGTTCTCCTTGTGCATCATGTGTCGTTCCCTCTCAGCAATGGAGAAACTGTACACGGTGGGAAGATGGAATTCTCACGAGATGGACGAGGTGGCTCGAAGGACACGTGTGATAATCTCACAAAGTTTGCTGCATAAAAGCCGCTATTTCGATCGGCTTGACAAGGAGTTATTGTGGTTGAGTAGTGTGCAGTCTAGCCTAGAAACCTGCGGAGCCATCAGTGAGAAAGTGCAGCTCAGCAGCGACAACGAGCCCCAATAGGTAAACTTTACCCGGGGTAGGTTCCCTCTCCGATTCTAGGATTTCTCCATCACGGACTTCAAGCTATATTACCACTATCACCTTTGTTGGCGCAGACACCTACTGCATACAACACAATAAATTTGCTTCGGATATCGCAGAGCTGAGGCTTCCTATACATGAAATTGTTCCGCTGCGTAACAGCTCGCAACCCACACGAAATAAGGAAATGCCAGAATACTAACAAAAACTTGGCCTCATGATTTTCCCTAGCTCTTCATAATTTGCCAAGGCATAGCAGCCAGTCACCAGTTGTTGCGCCTACTTGGCACCTTAAAACAGATATCCACTGATTCTTGACGACGGAGATTGCTCAGTTCTATGAGAGAGGTAACCTTTCACTCGCGAGTAGTTAGAGGACATTTGTGAGCTGTGGAAAATATGGCACCCGATCAAAGTTGTTCAAGAGAAAGTTGTGAACTTTTGACAAATCTTGTCGAATCGGCAATTACTTAGACTCGGCCTAATACCTCCGGCAATCTAGCATGGCCTTCCCCTCGGCCCAATTGACCCGGTACGCCCATCTCTCCCGTCTTCCCGTGTCTGGTTCTATAGCCGTTCAGCAGAATTAGCGTTACCGTGAAGAGGGCAGCACCGATGAGAGTGGCATCAATGCGTAAATCAACGAGTCCCATTTATTGGGCTCTAGCTCATCCTTCTCGTTTTCTTTTCTTTCGTGCATCACCGACCATCTCTCTGCTAGTTTGCATTGTAAAATCTGCCTCTAAAGTCGATCGACTGAAATAGTTCCCATTTGTCGGCGTTTCTCTCCTCATTTTTTCTCATTATTTCACTTTGTCCATTTGCCACATCTGTTTTCATCTTTGATCAACACCAAATTATCGTGCTTTCTGCCTTCAAATGTACTTTCTTACCGAGAAATCACAGCTCCTCTCTTGCCAGTTGCTGCATGCTGCGCTTGTTGCGTAGCTTTAGCCTCACTCCAGCCATAGAGATTTTTAGTATTGTAGAATCGTTGCTTTCCGTCCGCTTGTACGGCCAACATGCACAGAGTCTTTGTGGCCAGGTAGGCTCCCTAGAACTGATGTTGCCTGAGACTAACCGCCCTGATTTTGAGAAACCTTGGGGTTTGCTTCAATACTCACCTGCCCAAAGTTGTATACCGCATGCGTTTTATACGGTGGCATATCCCATTCACCATCGGTGCTGTTCATAGGACATATCAGAGGCTGGTCATCTGGGTGGTCAGTGCTATCGAAATACCATGGATGAACTTCATTAGTGCCAAAGTTAGCAGGCTCGTTCATATCAATCCAAATACCATCGTAAGGGACCTGAAGGAGAATAACCATATCATGCCTGCAGTACGTGTCGTTATTTACATCCATATATTACTATCACAAGTCTGTTGGCATTTGGAGGAAAAATATGCCACCTGCTGTTGATAAGTCTTAAACTCTTGAATCCACCATTTTTGTGTGGCGTTCGTTGGATCAAGAAAGTCGGGAAACGCTACGTGGCGGTCCGGCCACACCACTCCAAGCATGATTTTGGTTTCTTTCGCTAGAGGATACTGGTCCTAAAATAGATTCATTGTTAATGCGCTCCTACAGCGAAGGTAGTCCTTAGTAACTCTTCGTTTTCACCAACAAGTTCACAGCTACTCGAATAGTTGAGTACTGTCACTGCTCTTCCTGATAAAATGTACAGATCATGTTATATTGACGAACTCTTTGTGTGATCCTACCGCAATGAACTCAATGGACGCATTTCGGTCAAGAAAATAATGACGAGTATAACATCAGGTCGGTCCATAATTTTTGAGAACCTTTGGTGTTTTTCGATTCAATTACTTATCTTATTTCTCTGATGTACATTCAGCATAGTATACACCATTATTACCAACATATAACCAGTGCGAGGGTGGGTATTCAGTGTCTCTCTTGTAGAATTTCATAGAGTTCTGATCGAAGAAATATTGGAAGTCGATTTTGACTCTATGGTGATTCAAGTGAGATTTCTTCTCCAAAAGGTGATTGAGAGAGGAGAGCGGATAGTCGTTGACGCAGGATTAGTGCTACAAGGCGGAGCTAAAAGAAATGACCGCCCGAGAGTCTTCAATTTATTAGGAATTTTCTCGGGCTCGAACGACCTCAGAAAAATATAGATTTTGTCTCCCTTTGCTTTCAAGTTGAAGGCGTTGCCATCAAGCTGTCAACGATTCTTCCCATCACTGACACTGGTATTAGTTGATGCTGGTCTTCAGCACAAGGGCCCTCCCGTATTGCACCAACGACTCAGGAAGTTCGAATTCGGAGGGAGCTGGGTTTTTACTGTCAGAACTCCCGAATCGTTTAAGCAAATCTACTGCGGCTCGTGGATTTGTTAGCACACTGCACCCAGTCCACATCACCAATGAGTATTATAGATGGTGATCCGAAGGAACTATGGGAAATCAACAGGAACTTGATGTCAGATTGGGTTGAGAACTGATTCGGGACTACAATTTTCCTTCGATCAGAACTCTATGAAAGTCCACAGTAGAGGCACTGAATACCCACCCTCGCATTGGTGATATATTGTTAATAATAATTATGTATACTATGCTGGATAAGTAGATCAGAGAAATAAGATAAGTAATAAATCGAAAAACACCAAAGGTTCTTAGAAATTGTGGACCGACCTAATAATACTCAGAATAGATGCTTGGGCCCATGCCTACAATTGGTACAGACAGAGTCAACCGCAGGCGAATCAAAAGCAGGGCGTAGGCGTGGCGCACACTGCGTGGGCAGTGCCGAGTAAAGCGCTTTTAAGTTTTCAGTAGTTTTTTCAAACTTTCACATTTTCATTCATTCAAGCGTTTGTAAAAACTTCCAAAAAATGTTTGTCCTCCACAAAATATTTCTCTTGAAAAGATTTCCTTTTTTCCTCGAGAAGCCAATCCTTAATACTACTTCAACATTCCTCGTTTTCCCAATTCCAGAAACATTGGAGTCCTTCTGAAACAGTTTTTTGTCACTCATGGCTCGAATTTTGAGCGTATCGCTTAACAATCCCACAATGGTATGCGCCCTGCATCTAATTGGCCCATGCATTTCAAAATCGATATAAGTATACCAGTTTGGCTGCGCACGCATTCGCGTGCATCACACGGGGGCTCAAACAGGATGATCACTATTCTTTTATAGATTTTAATTTTTTCAATTTTAGAGAAGGTTTTCTAGTTGAAATTCTGTCCTGTCTGTGGGCGCTGAATTTACTTCGCATTGGGGGTTATCGAGGCGTCCTGGATCACTGTAATATATTCGACCTCATTTTTATGGCGCTATGGCGCTACATTGCGTCATTTGCGGCCACTTTGCGGCAAGGTGTTTTCGCCCGGATTTCGCATTAAGACTTCGCTCATATATGTCGGTCATGAGAGTGGTCTATTTCGCACTAATATGACCCTGCCATATTTTGGCGCCTGACCTTCGCTAATTACCTAGCCATTTGTGCATCATAAAAAGACGTGGCAGAGATCGTGAGCCAATTTCGCAACGCGTATCCAGTCAGTCGTCGCTGGAAGGGTATATGCCACCTAAGGCATTTCCTCACCTTGGATACCAACAGGCTGTGGAAGGCGATGCTACCACCCGGATGTCCACGTTGGAGACACACGCTCCCCAGGCTGTGTGAAGGCGATTGGACCCAGGCTTCCCATCGCTTTAGGAACAATCCGAGGTATGGGAATCGGCGTGGCGTTTCCATTAGATCATTTCTTCACTATTCGTGAACGACAGTGAAGCATATGCTCCTCACGGCTTTGGAGCAACGTACATCGCACATCAGACTGATGGACTGCCCATATGAAGATTCTCTCGAAAAAACTGCAGATCGGAATCACCTGCATATCCAGGATTGAGCTGTCGAAGTATGGGCCGCTGCATTGTCCGCCATTACTTTCTTTCCTAACGCCAAGACATGCGCTCGGAAAAACGACGAAACGCGAGATGCTGGAAGTTTGATAACCGAAAAGGTCGTACCGAACTGGCAACGAATAACACGAAGGTCTACGTCCCTTGCATAAAGAGGCTCATTTTTCGAGCTACTCCAAACTCGAAGCGATCGACCGTGTTCGCCTGTCCTACTCTGGCTCCGTACCATAGGAAAAGGAACTGACACAAAGCGATACGTGACGCACATCCAAACCCTGCCGACCGTTGTAATGGAGCAAAATTCCGTGATGCGGGCGCAGAGTAGCCTCAGAGAGGAAGCCACACGTATCGAGGATTCTGACTGGGAATGAATCGACGAAACCCCTGGTAACGCGAGCGCAAGTACAACCGGGGGACGGCTGGGTCCGTGAACACCATGGCCTTTTCGGAGGCCTCGAAAGGGCAAGCGTCGTCGGACATATCCTCACGGCGCTGGTGCTCCGAAGGAACGGGCTCGTCCTACATCTCTTGCGTCTCAATTATGAAAGTACATCAGATATCTTCCTGAACGCTATCCCATTCTATGTGTATCATGGTGAGAGTCTTTACCCAAAGTATCCGCACCTGCCGGCTCGATACAGACATCTTCCAGCAACCAACGATTGACACCTTCGATTCATGCCAAGGTCTGGAGCACATCATCTCAGAAATGTGATCTCTTCTGGCAAGTCAAGGGATAGGTGGCAAAGCGACGCACGGCATCACATACGGCGTCCGATAGTGTGACTTCATAATCACGAGTTCCCTGGAAAAAGCCTACCGGAGGGTACGATCGCGACGCCTTCTGGTAACAATTTGTGACAAAGTAGTACAGCACTCTATCAATTCGCTGAGATTTCGACATTCCTTTCATTGAGCTAAAGCCAGCGACCTCTTAGGGCCACAATAACAAAGCACTGGGGCTCGTTAAAACTAAGAGAACAACATGATGAATACACTTTTTAACATGTTAGTGTGTGTGTTTTCGTACTGGCGGAGGACTCGTGTAATTATTGATGAGGTAGGCGAGCGTCATATTCGTGATCAGGACCCTCGATAACCCCCATATGCGAAGTTTCAGCGAAAAAAATTTTTTGACCCATCTCACCCCCTCTGGGGTTGTAATAGTGCAATAGTGCCAAACTTCCAAAAAATGTTTGTCCTCCACAAAATATTTCTCATGAAAAGATTTCCTTTTTTCCTCGAGAAGCCAATCCTTAATACTACTTCAACATTCCTCGTTTTCCCAATTCCAGAAACATTGGAGTCCTTCTGATACAGTTTTTTGTCACTCATGGCTCGAATTTTGAGCGTATCGCTTAACAATCCCACAATGGTATGCGCCCTGCATCTAATTGGCCCATGCATTTCAAAATCGATATAAGTATCAGTTTGGCTGCGCACGCATTCGCGTGCATCACACGGGGGCTCAAACATGATGATCACTATTCTTTTATGGATTTTAATTTTTCAATTTTACAGAAGGTTTTCTAGTTGAAATTCTGTCTGTGGGCAATGTTGCCTCTCATTTACAGCAGAACTGCTGAGTAAGATTCCCAGGGACGGCGGTTTCGGAGAGGGTCTTTCTTCCGAGAAAGGGTTTTTTTGGAAGGTAGTAAGCCTGAAAAATTGTGTCTGTGACCAATGTTCTCTCACTATTACTGCAGAGCTCCTGAGTGAGATTCCTAGGTACGATGGTTTCGGAGAAGGTTTTTTCTCGGAGCAGGGTATACTTTTCACTTCGGAGAAGGTTTTTAGGTTCCTAAGTCATCTCGGGGCCGAATTATGAGGTCTTGTAGAAGACGTTCTGAGTCATGAATTCCAGAGACGAACCCCACTTTGGTGCATGCTTAGCCCACCAATAGCATTTGACCCCTTTCCCTCCGGCAACCCTTATCCACCTTATTCCCGGGCGCTGGGGCTTCTAGTAACCGAGTTATGAGAGTGGTGGCAAACTCCGCCCACTTCGGGGTGTGCCACGCCCAACGTTCACATTCAACCTCTACTCCTCCTCTCACCTCTTCACGTATTCTTTCAGGTTTCTAAGTCATCTCGGAGCCGAAGTATGAGGTCTTGTAGGGGACGAAATCGAGCTACGTATCTTTGTAGCAAACCCCGCCCACTTTGGTGCATGGGTCGCCCACTGATATCAGTTGACTATCATCTCTTCCCCAACCTTCTTTTACTTTTTTCCCATCTCCGGAACTTATTGGAACCGAGTTATGAGAGTGGTGGCAAACTCCGCCCACTTCGGGGTGTGCCACGCGCAGCGTTCACATTCGAACTCTACTCCTCCTCTCGCCTCTTCACATATTTTTTCAGGTTTCTATGTCATCTCAGAGACGAAGTATGAGGTATTGTAGACGTTGTGAGACATGAGTTTTTGTGGCAAACCCCGCCCACTTCGGTGCACACATAGCCCACCAATAGCATTTTACCCCTTACCCTCCAGCAACCCTTATCCACTTTTTCCCCGGGCCTGGGGCTTCTAGGAACCGAGTTGTGAGAGTGGTGGCAAACTCCGCCCACTTCGGGGTCTGCCATGCCCAGAGTTCACATTCAACTTCTGCTCCTCATCTCACTACTA